TCTTGTCGTAACAATTGGCCTGATGCAAATTTCAGCTAAAGCACGAAGAAGTAAATAATGCTGGTTTATTATAGAAAATGTCTTAGAAATCACAATTACCGCATCGGAAAAGTTCGAAACACACTCCTAATTTCCCAATAATATTTTTTTTTATTTTTTGTTTAAGTTTCCCGCTTCAAAAACGGTAGTAGGCTTCTCGTGGTGTAGTTGCTGTAGCGCTGGCCCTATGACCAAGAGATCCCGGGTTCGATTCCCGGTCAGGTGATCTGAGCTTGATGGTCCCAGGCAATGGTCACCTGGGGCTGGGGTAATAAACGTGGGATTAGCCGATAGGCTATTTGAAATCGGTAAAAAAAAGAAAGAAAAACTATGGTACAGGTGAATATTTTGTATGAAAAGTCGTTCCGTCCAACCCTCATACGCCATGTGCCCTGGATGCGACACGATATTCAACATGTTTGACACATCCTCGCGTAAAGCGTAAGGAAGCAATATGATCTTCATGAACGCAAGGGAAATGTAAATATAAACACACCGGTTCTTGTAAGCCCGTATCGTCACGTGTGTTTTGGTAGGTTGACGTCGGCCATGTTGAATATTGCGCAGTATCCTAATGCGCAAGGGTTGGATAGAACGACTTATTTTTCGAAATGTTCTCCAGTGCCGTAGTATCATTTTTGAAGCGGGAAGCTTGAAAAAACGCATATATTCCTAACGCAGAATTTGAACTTATGTATAGAAGCGTATTTCAGGCTTTCCCAATGCGCTTATAGTGATTTTTGAGCCACTTTCTTCCGGAAATAACTCCTCTTTTTGCTCTAACTGAGGTTTACAATAGGTCCAATGCAATTTGCTGCTCCATTGCCCAATGAGTCCACGATTTAGATCGAATAGAAAAGAGGATACTTACATATACTATAGAAGGCAACGTCCCTGGCTGTCACGCAGCCCAACCCGCAGAGGGTGAAAGCGCCATTTAAGGCCCGCTTTTAGAATCCTCATAAGTTAATCGAAATAGAGCGGGCTCATCAAGAAAGTATCTCCTATCGATAGTTGTAAAAATCATGAAAATCGATCCAGTAGGTCTTTAGAACGAACTTTCATAAAAATGAGCGTTTACATTTTTTAAATGGTAGAACCACTAGAACCCACAACTTAATCTTTAAATATAAAAAAAAACCTGGGTCGTATTTCCAAAATCTAAATCAAGTGGGTTTATCTAGCGACCATCATCTGCGAAAACCATTCACATCCCACCGGATGCAAGTTATTTAAGTAAAAGAAATGTTTGGGTCGATCTGAGACTTGTTCTTTATGTTCTTATTTTTACACACGAGGTATAAATGTGTCTGCTCCTTACGCTCCATTCCGAGAAAAGCGTGTTCCTCTCTGCATTTGGTTCGAGCCGCACATCATAATTTTTATCATATTTTCTTTCTTGGAGCGAGGAAAATACAGGGGCACCGTTAAATGAGAAGCAATTTATTTGTAAATGAGCCCGAGAAATAAGCATATCCCGAGAGAAACGGGTGATGGTTTTTGTGGGAGGGCGAAAGAGAAACCGGTTGATATGATATTAAAAATTCTAACTGATACACTGATCGCCGAGAGATTTTCATTCAAAATTCAAACTGCTCTTTCTGAATGATCCGCCACACATCGCAGATTCATTCGACCCGTGTGCTATGCGAACGAACACTCCGGCGGCAGAAATGAGAAGATCATTTGCGGTCATAAACATGACAAAAGCACACAGGCAATGCATTTAAATTGAATAAAAAGAAATAGTCTCGTACCCTTTTTGTGCATTTACAACAGGGAGGAACAACTTTTTATTTTTGAAGAGAAAAGAGGGTAAATTTATGCTTTCATTTGCTCTTTGAATTTTTCCTCCTACCAATTGATACTGTCGCCTCTGTTCGGAATGGTTTCGAACCATTTCCGTTAGCAAGATAACTACGAATGGTTCTTAAAAATGGCTCTTATTGTCTTCCTCTGATCATCGTCTGCGAGCAGTAAACATCATTAAAAGGGATTAATTTATGACTCACAGAGGCAATGAAAAACAAAAAACGGCAATATTTATGATTTTTTTTTATCAGAATCAATGACAAAAAGGTACAAACTCTATTTTTAACGTCACTTTTTTAAAATTTCGGTGCAAATCGGTAGCAAAAATGTGAAACCACGTATCTTCATTAAGGTGTTTCAAAACGTTCGTTTCTATTTCATTTTTTCGAAAAGGAGAAAGTCAACTTAATCGCTAAAAATTTTTCAGAATATTCTGCTGGCAGAAAATAAAAATTAAGGAAATCGTTTAGACATTACATTCACTGGTACTGAATAAAAACAAAAAAATTGTGACAAGAAGTTTACAACGTCGCAAAAGGAGATACGCGCTTTCGCACTTTGGCCATCGATATGTCAGGTACTTTTCTAAAAAAAAATGTAACTAACTTTGACTTTCGCATGGAATCCTGAGTATTTTTAGATGTAAATAGAAATTTTACGTGAAATTGTATATAATCTTACTTTCTATTTCGATAAAATGAATGAAGACACCTTATCTCTGAGGATTAGATAATAACTTCAGGTTCCACAATTCCCCTTTGGTGCATAACAGTGTGACACCGTACTTCCTCTCTTTTTGAGGGTGTGTCTTCAAAGAGGTTTAAAGGCAGTAAGTGCCCCAAAAAATCCCTGGAAATCAATTACTGGGCTCTTGACGTGCTGGGAGGCAATGATAAATCCATTTATCTGTCTTGCGTTAATTACCAAAGCGATTCTTTTTTCCGTCCTTTCAAGCCGCACAAAAGGAATCGGAAAGACAACGGAAGAGGAGAAAAGGGCACGACAATGAATCGAACTGATACAGAAGTCAGGAAATGGAGATGGGACCCTAACAAAAAAATCCAGCTCTCTTTCTTAGAAGCGTGCGTGCGAGCACTTTTTCACCTGGATCAATGTTTTGAAACGACGTTGTCGATTTCATGAAGTGGGTTCTTGAATTCCATTACAAAAGCATGCCATGACGATGCATGCTTTGTTAAAAACTCGCCAATTTCAGCCTCTGAATTTAAAAATTTGTAAATTAAGGTGATTCGATGGACGCCATATTTTGTGTCAGAATGGCATGCGATATATCGCATCAATTGGTTCCATTTTTTCAGCTACTCGTCATTTTTCTCTAATTTTGAGATCGCAATTCTGTTGTCAGGGGACTAAAGCACTCACTTACCAATATTAACAAAAAGATTCAACGTAATAAAGGCGTGGTTTTTTCAGAGAGAAAACATCGCATTCGATACTGATATCGAAACTGCACTCGAATGCGATATTTTCTCTCTAAAAAAACTATGCCTTTGATACGTTGAATTTCTTTGTTAAAATTGGTAAGTGAGTGCTTTAGTCTTCTGACAACAGAATTGCGATCTCAAAATTGGAGAAAAATGACGAGTAGCTGAAAAAATGGAACCAATTGATGCGATATATTGCATGCCGTTCTGACACAAAATATGGCGTCCATTGAATCACCTTAAACCGTATATGAAAAGCATCTGGAACATTTTGCAATTACTACGATTTCTGGCTCATCTGTAAAAGGACCTATCTTCATAAGGTAACTAGTAGCACGGACGTTGTTCCCAAAATCAGCCTGAGATGGTAGTTCCTTAATGCAATTTCTAATCCATTTGATAGAGGGGAAGCGACTAGATTTCGGTGTTTTCAAAATCGTACGTAGATGATAACTGAAAACTATTATTATACAATGTAGACGGTATTTGTTGAAAAATGGAAGTTCCTTGAGTTTACTTGGATTTGAATCACATCTGTTTCTACAAAACTTTATGCGCGTTTCGTAATGCAGCGATCATGCCTCTGTGTTTAAAGAAGCTTGCGATTCATTGCAAACAAACACTTGTGCGTGCAAAGTTGGCGTTTCATTTTCCGAGCTAACACAGAGTGTGGCAAAATGTCGAGTTTTCTTCTAGTTTCAACATTTTTCTTGAAGTATATTTTAACTGAGAGATAAGAATATTATCGGATGTAATCTTCGCTCGAAATGGTATTGTGACCAAAATTTCGAAAAAATTTTCTTCCATCAAGTTAAGAATCTAAAGTCTTGTGTTTATACTCACCCTCCATATTCTCTGTAAAGCCATTAAAAGCCTAAGTTGCCGAGCTAACACAGAGTGTGGCAAAATGTCGAGTTGTCTTCTAGTTTCAACATTTTTCTTGAAGTATATTTTAACTGAGAGATAAGAATATTATCCGATATATTTTTTTCTAGAAATGATATCGTGACCAAAATTTTGAAAACATTTTCTTCCATGAAGGTAAGAATATAAAGTCTTGTGTTTATACTCACCCTCCATATTCTCTGTAAAGCCATTAAAAGCCTAAGTTGCTGAATGTGTCTGATAAAATAACTAAATAACTACTAAAACAAAATCCTCGAAAAATTGGAATACATTTTTACGATCTGAAACGTATAATCATGATGAGAGATATCCCGAAGAAACTATGCTAGCAGAATTCTGAAATTTTCACAGTTTTAGCTAACGGACTGATAGGAGACATATTAAAACTGTTGCCAACCCCTTTTGATATCAATATGTAAGGATTAACTCCGGTTCGCTGTGAAGTTTCTGTTTCTCACTTTGCATTTTATCTCATTTTCCTTGGCTGACAATTCGTCTCAATTAAAAAAAGCATAAAAATAAGTGCATGAGTTTTAGACAATATACTAAATTTCCAGAGAGTTGCTTGTTTTTATCGGGCAGTTAAACAAATTTCACCAAAAAAAATAAATATATAAATGAAAAATAAAATAAAATAAATCATCAAACTCACCCGATGCTTTTATCACACCCTGTATACTAATGTCTGTGTACATAAAGGTAGTGATTATTTTTACGTCATTTTCCGTTGGAAAAGTCATCAGTCAAGCTCGCCCGATACTCTGTCACACCCTGTATATAACCATGTCTGTGCACACACAGGTCGCCATTATTTTTAAGTCGTTTGTCGTTGACACGTTCAAAAATCATCATTCGTGCACATTATTCGCGGTAGTGCAATATACTCAGTGGTGTAGAGTCAAGGTAAGAATTCACTCAAAAGGCAGCTCAGTTTGAGACTCAATATGACCGGAATGTTGCCGATTTTTAAGATTAACCTAAGAATTAGCCTCAGTAGCCTCTGCCTTATGGTCTTAAGTCCCCTATTTGTTAATTCGTTTATGCTCGATCCTCATAGCCGCGCAAAAATAAAATTAGAGTCTCAGCAAGTTGAGTTGGCCCAGCTGACCTACGCGAACCTCCTGAGCGTGGCGACTGTGGGGACCCCTCTGTTTTTGTCCCCTACCATCAAAAGAGGAGACATCGCTGAGGCTCGACGACTTGCCGCAGTCCTGCCAATCCCACCTCTACTCCCGGGAATCGAGAGTTTTTCCGGTTTCATCACCGTCAACGAAAACCTCGGATCCAACCTGTTTTTCTGGATGTTCAAATCCTTGGAGGGCGACTGGACGTCGAAGCCACTCATCATTTGGATCCAGGGCGGACCTGGCTTGACGGCCATGTTCGGATTGGTCGAAGAAATCGGACCTTTTACCGTCAATCAAAAGGTTAATGCCTTCAGAAGGAAGTACACGTGGTGCCGGAAGTACAATCTACTGTTCATTGACAGCCCTGTTGGAACTGGGTTCAGCTTCACGGCACATGACGCCGGCTACCCAACTTCAGACCTGGGTGTAGCGATAGACCTCTACGCCTTCCTCGTCCAGTTCTACGCTATGTTCCCGGAGTTGAAGAGTAACCCGATGTTCCTCATAGGTGAGATAAATCAGAAATATTACTTGAAAACACTCTAATGTCGATGGCAGTGGTGCGAAACCACGTATCTCTATTACGGCGTTTCAAAATTTCTACTCCTGTTAAGTTGTTTTAAAGATGAGCAAGCCAATTTTATAACTTGAATTTAATCAGAATATTCTGCTAGCAGAGAGAACAAATCAAGGCAGTTCCAAGAAATTAAGTTGACTAGCTTTCCATTGAAAAAATAAAGAATGACACCAAGTTTATACAACGTCGAAAATGGAGATACGTGTTTGCACTTAGGCCATCGATTTGCTGATGCCGATCTCTCAACATCATTAGCCTCTTTTAAGAATAGGTGGTGCTGCACTTCTCCCTTGCAAATAAAGAGTCATGTCTGCACTCATATCAGTCCAAAAAAGAAAAGAGATGGCCCCTTAGCTTGCATGGTTTTCCTTTTGACTAGTCTACCCAGGCTTACACTGGCGTTCGAAAACGAAAAAGCTCCGATAGAATTAGAACTCTTTGAATCAACTATTCGTGAAACTAAGAAGAGTAAATTATGATACAACTATTTTAACTCCAAAGTACGCGTGTTGCATACCTGCCGCCTTGAAGGCGAACATGCAGCCGTGTTGAGCGAATGCACCTCAGCAAATTTCAGTTTCTTTAATCGCCTGTGAGCAGTAGATTCTGATACCACTATTTTAACTCCAAAGTACGCGTGTAGCATACCTATACCAAAACGAAGGCAAACTTGCTTCGTCGTTAAAAGAAGGAACTTCCGCAGAATTTGAACTCACCTAATCTACTGATGGACCAGTGGATAAGGTAAAAATTTAAGCATCCTAATAAACGTTTCTTAACCTGAATTTCTTGTAGGACACGATTCGCGCAAATAAAATGACTGAATTCATCTCTTAACTAAGATACTATCGTTCCTAGTTAAGATCGGTTACGGGAAATTTGAAATCTCCGCTAACAAGAAAATCCAGTGTCTACTTCAATAAATCCGGTTACCACAATGATTTTGACAGGATTCTTGATCAAGCAATGATTCTTTTCCATCTTGTGTTGTTCAAAGCGTTGAAAACATGCAAAAGCTGAGCCGAAACACCGACTGTGAGGTTGCCATGTTTTCATAAGTACACCCCAAATAAGTTTAGGCACATTCAGACTGCTGCGACAAAAGATCCGTCTGATTCTTGAAATTACTTTACATGTTAAACTGACGTCGAACCATCGTCTGTCGCAGTTTAAAAGTGCGAAAACGTATTTGGCGTGGACCATACAGTGGGGATCATTACGATAGTTTAGTGTTTAGTGTACAATTTTTGATTCACGCAGACTTTTGTTTTTCCAAGGGCGGGAGGTCTGAATTAACGCATCGAAAACTGCTTATTATCTTAAGGAGTTGATTTCAGTTTAAATCGTAGTCTACCTGTAGTTTTGATAAGGAAACATTGATTGAATTGGGATGTGCGAAAACTGCTAATGTCCATTTTTCCAGTCTTAAGTTTTTTGGAGTTCATAATACTTTTCGGAGTTGGTTCCAACCACGAAAGTGGCGATAAAACTCATTTTCGGGTTTCCTTCATCCCAAAACGAATCCTTTCATCACTTTTATGGTTGTATCAACTCTTTAAAGTATTATGAAGTCAAAAAAACTTAAGACTGGAAAAATGGACACTAGCGGTTTCTGCACGCCCCAATTCACTCCGAATGATTAAATTTCCACCTTGTCTAGTGGTCCATTCCTGCAACCGCACCGTTCTATTTTCGCCCCTTGTTGTACCGCCTTTCGATCTAATTATACCCTTTCCTTTTCACAGGTGAGTCTTACGCCGGTAAGATGATCCCCGCTTTCGCACATTACATCCACCTGCGAAACAAGGAAAACGAGGGCAAAGGTTTCGTGGTACCCCTGACCGCAGTGGCAGTGGGGAACGGCTTCTCGGATCCCATCTCCATGCTGGACTACTCGAACTACCTCTACCACCTTGGTTACCTCGATCGAGCCGGGAGGGACCTGATACGAACGTACGAGGACCAAATTCGAGCCGCGATCAGAGCCAATAAGTGGGTCGAAGCCAGAAACATCTTTTACGATATGATGTTCGGGGCCATTTACAACATCACACAACTGATCGCCCCTTACAACTACATCCACGACGGCGCCGCGTCCAATCCACCCACCTACGAGTTCTTCATGAGACCGGACGTGAGAGCCGCGATCCACGTCGGCAACTTAAAGTTCAACTTCATGAGCGACAAAGTTTGGGACTCGATGGCCGCGGCGTTCATGCAGTCGGCCAAGCCTTGGATCGAGGACATCTTGAATTGGGGGGAGTTCTCTTACGTGTCGTTCAGCGGGATGTTGGACATCATCTGCGCCTACACCTTGAGCGAGAATATGTTCTACGACCTCAACTGGAAGCACGCGGCTGCTTACGCGACGGCGAAGAGGTGTCCGTATTATATGAATGGGTGGCTCGCTGGATACGTGAAAACAGTTGGCGTCTTTACAGAAGTCTCGTTGCGGACCGTTGGGCATATGGTTGCCTACGAGGAGCCCGAGATCGGGTTCACCTTCTTGGACACGCTCATGACGAACAGGACGTTAGGGTTTAGGTGTGATTGAGTAAGCCCGCCTGAATAGTTTTCTTATCGATAGCTAGGGTGTAATACAGTGGACTCTCGATAATTCGAGAACCTCGTTAATTCGAAGGAAAGTCCGTTTCCCTTGAAAATCTCCCGGTAATTCGAAGAAAATCAATGTATTTTTTTCCCCTCGTTATTTCGAAATTTTTAAGCTGGCGCGGCCCTCTATAATTCGAAATTGCGACGAAAATTCTCTCAGTGATTCGAAGTGTGGGAAGTAAATATGGTCCTCCCTCTATAATTCGAAATAAGACGGTACATTCCCCCTACAATTCGAAGTCAACTGTTTATGAACCTGGGTGTCTGAAAGAGCTGATGGGATTGTCAAAATGTAAACTTGTAATTAATAATTTTAAAATTAAATATAAATAATTAATACTTAATGATAACTTAGTGTAATTTTTACCGCCGGAAAGAAATAAACTGATATTTTTGGTTCCTTTTGACGTAAATTCGTCCATTTGCCTCTCTACGTTCGAACCTCTCTAATTCGAAATTTCTCCACATGAATCTTTTTATTTCGAAACCTCGCTAATTCGAAGAAAAAGCCGATTCCCTTCAATTTCGAATTATCGAGAGTCCACTGTACCACGTATCGTCATTTCCGTGTTTCAAGATTTCCGCTCCTTGCTAACTTTGTGGTGCTAGGTTATTCCCCTAAAAAAATTTTCCTACCATACTTCTTCCTAGTGCTTCGTACCTACTAGTTTTATGTTCCATCCTAGTAAGTCCTACGAATGAGATTTCGCACTGGCTTTTTTCAGTTTCAATCTTTTGCAAATTTCCGATGGAAAAAAGTCAGTAGTACATCCCATTCGCAGGACTAACTGCAACGGGACAAAAAAAAAAGAATAGAAAAGTAGTATTTAACCTTGTAGTAGGAAATCATGTTTTTGGAAAAATGACTTGCCACCAACTTCTTAGCTTGAAAACACAGAGTACGCTGCGAGCAGCTGAGTTTAAAAATTAGGGAAGTTATTAAAAAATCACGACAGTTAGTTTTTTAAAGAAAGCTAAAGTATGACATAAGGTTTGCAACGTCTCAAACGGAGATACGTGATTTTGTACTTTTCGACTTATTGACGAGGATAGATGGAAAGTGGAAATTCCAAATTTGATAAGTTTCATCAGGTGTGTTACAATTGGACGTGTTTTTCGTCGCTGTCTGGGTACCTAAGTACCATTTCTTCGTGGAATCTTCAAAGCAAAAATAGTCTCTCAACTTCGATCTTCTTTTCATAAAGATTCGACATTCTCAAGCCACTGGATTCTAGTTTAACGAGAGGGATGGTTGCACAATTGTGGAAACATCTGCACGCATGATGGCAATTACTAGGTTTTCACTTTCTAAATGTGATCTTCCACGGGAGACTGCATGCACACGCATCCTAGTCCACGAAGAAGAAGTTATTTTTAGTTTCCAGTTTTGTCTTCATCTTACAAATAGTCAGTTAGCAGATATGCGGTATCGTTCCTTAGCCACCTATATGTAAATTCTTGGTGACTAGTGTGCTCTGCAGCTTAAAATAACTGTAATTTCAAAACCGCAACTGCTCTAGTCGTCAGGTGACCAATCACCGAGTGGGAGTCCCTCCAGCTGGATTCTGATTGGTTGTCTTCCGGTCGACTTCATCTTCCCACGACGCGGTCTAAATCATCACAATGTCTCGGGGGGTGGATTAAAAATGAGGAGTCATAAATGTGGCAAGAAACAGGCGTAAGTAAGTAAACACGGGGGCACAGGGCCGAGGGGAAGGGACGAAGGGATGGGCGGCCTCGGCGCGCTAAAACAAAACTGAAATGTCCCCGGAGAAGGAGGAGGCGGTGAGCGAGCGAGCGAGAACGCGGAGGAAGGACGGAGGAGAGAGGAAAGAATACAAGGAACGCAGTGTGATGTATCTTGTTAATTACATTAATATAATTTATGTGTTTCATTAAAAACACACCGAGTACTGTACTAATTCTTTTTGTGTTAATTTCTCATGCTGGAACCCCGTTGCCCGGTGCGCGCTCCTTACCTCAGTTCGTCCGCCCTGAAATTTATTGCGCCTAGCCTTAATCCATTTATTTATAAATTTATAAATCATAAAATGTACACTCTATGTACAGGTATTGCTTTTTGAGAAATATATAGAATTAATAAAATATCTTCATCGTTACACCAGGCAGCGCCTCCCCCGCCCGCCACCCGCCCCCGCGAGACGAAAAATAATCACGATCCAAGATAAATTGGCGTTGGCATCGCCACGCATTTTCCCTCGAAAACTCAGGAGCTCTAGCGGGAAATTGACGTCGCTTGTTTTCGCCGGTGATTTGTGGCTAGCAATTTCCTTCTGAAAAATTACACGGATCAGTGATCAGAGGACTTTAATTGAGTGAAAGTGGGACGAGCCCTGCTTCAGCGGGGTTTTTATAAGCATTGTTTGGAATCTATCTGCTTCATAGAGGAGGATAAGCTGTAGGTTACTTTTTTTTGGGTGAACGCTGAAAAAAAATGGAAGTTGATTTAACATTCTGAATGTAGAAAAAGTGTGCGGGAACTTATAAACGGCTAAATTACCCGCCATTGCACCACTGAAAAAAATGTGTGCTGACATGCTGATTCTTGAATTTCAAGCCAAGATTTTTTTTACCTTGATTTAAGCTGAATTTTTCTTGATCCACAAAAAATCATGCTTGGGTTACGCAAAAAAGTTGTTTATGTTCAGCAGCAATATTCTTGATTTAAGAAAAAATACCTTTTGGCGGCAAATTTAAGATTTTTTTTCAGTGGCAGTTAGTTTTACATCTTGGTTTTGATAAAGTAACTGCTGCAGCGGGTAATTCAGAATTTTTTAAGTTCTCGAACACTTTTTTTTACATCCAGCATGTTAATTCAACTTCACTTTTTTCGCGGTGTGCATTAACATTCGCATTTACTGTGGAACTTGTACACTTTATATACTGTATTAACTTCTTCTTTACTTTACTTCACCTATTCCTCACTTACATTATATGTATCGTGGAACAGGGTCGGATTCACTTACTTGCCGCCCATGGGCCGCCTGTATTTTGCCACTCTCTTCTCATTCATTTTGAAGCATCAATACCATCAAGTGAACGTGCCGGAGGGGGAGGGGTGCATAAGATACGTTTACTCTTGTTGGACACATTTTTCGCGAAAGCACTGTCAACACTACTAGCAAAAGTTCACGGAACTTAGCGCGAAAGTTAAGTTTCGTAAACCTATCTCTGTGTGGACAAGGCCTTCCATTTATATGAAATGAGCGAAAATATTATAAAAGAACAAGCATAAATGTGGTTTAATAATTTTAACTTCCACCGCCGCGCCGCGCTGACCGCACGGTGTTTGGCGCAATGCGTGAAGTATTCCCACAGTCTTGTAGGCGCTATGCGTTTCTCGCCGCCCGCTGCTGACCGTAGCGACCGCACTGTCTTTAACGCAATGCGTGAAGTATTCATTCAGTCTTGTAGGCGCTACGCGTTTCACGCCGCCCGCTGCTGACCGTAGCGACCGCACTGTCTTTGACGCAATGCGTGAAGTATTCATGCGGTCTTGTAGGTTCTAATATGTTTTACATGCCGACCGCTGCGCCGTGCCAAGGGTTTCTTCTTTTCATCTTAAGTTCTCGTCATCATTGCTCTCTGCGCCGCGCCGTTCCAGGCCAAATTCTGTGTTCGGTTTCTTTCTTGGTCTTAACTCGACTAATCAATTAAAGATGCTGTCTATTGTATCACAGAAAGACGACGAAATTAGAGATATACTCTCAGGAAATGAGAGATTTTATCACCTTCTCTCGTTCGTAATTTTTTTCTAAATCCGATTTTTCTTTATAGCTACATTTAAAAAAATTGCAAAATTTGCCGCCCCCTAAATCCGGCCCTGTCGTAGAAAATACTGTAGGTATGTTTGACACTACAATCTAAATCTATAGCCCTTGCAAGACTCTTGTACGAAATAAAACAATTTTTAGTTGAATTTGAATCAGAGTTGTACAATTTATGTGAAATAAAGTAGTGGATAATGACATTTACTGCGTGGGATACATTACAAAAAAAAGTGTGATCAAATGAACCAAACTAAGACCATATCCACATGGACAGAAATATTCGCTTTGTCTAGCCTAACGATTGGTTCATGCGATCGAACTTCTGGATTGAACTGAATTGAAAAAAAAGACTGTTACAAGAAGTGAATGTTCATATATTATTTGAATCAGAATATCGGTTTGACACGTACATCGAACAGTTATTGATCTTGATCAATTTATGTGACGCTGAGCTCTGATGAACACGATCAGACGAGCAAACTCCTTCTTTCCCGATCATCCATAAATACGCCCATTTCATCACATTATAAATTTTAAGAAATTCTTAGACTTCAAGAAAATTTTACAAAGCCATATACTTTTATACTTCTAAGTTTCGAAATGAGGAAAATATAAGTTTTTAAAGCTTCCTTGTCAAGTCTGACGTTTCTCGTTAGCTTGTTCCAGTGCGCATGGGTTTGGCATCGAGCTGATTCAAAAAATACCCTCAGGCGAATTTCACAAATTATAAATTTTAAGGGATGCCTCTTCAAGGACATTTTACACGGTCACTTTTAAACTTCTAGGTTTCGAATTGAGGAAAATATAAGTTCTTAAAGCTTCCTTGTCATGCCCGACCTCTCTCTTTGCCTCAATCCAGTGCGCGTAGGTTTGGCACCGAGCTGATTCCAAAAATACCCCCAGGGGAATTTCACAAATTATAAATTTTAAGGGATGCCTCTTCAAGGACATTTTACACAGTCTTTTTCAAACTTCTATGTTTCGAATTGAGGAAGAAGAGTCTTACAGCTTCCTTGTCGTGTCCGACTTTCCTCATTGGCTTGTTCCAGTGCGCGTAGGTTTGGCATCGAGCTGATTCCAAAAATACCCCCAGGGGAATTTCACAAATTATAAATTTTAAGGGATGCTTCTTCAATGAAATTTTACAATGCCACTTTTAAACTTCTACGTTTTGCAGTATGTTGGAGCTTTTTAGCCAACGTGCGTTAAAAATTCAGCATAAAGCTGTACATCTCAATACAAAGGGCACAATTGTCTCTCAAAGATATACGCTGTTTGGTAGTTAGAGTTTCTTTCCCCTCTGTGTTGAGATTTTAAGCTT